ATATATATTTCATTATTTATAATATGAATTCTTTTACTTCACTTATTTGAAATGATAAAAAAACAAAATGCACAGATTATACATTATTATTATTATAGCCTCTTGAAAATGATAGCTTGGAGAGAGAGAGAGAGAGAGAAAGAAGACATGCTTAATATAAATAAATTAAATATCGATTATCTAATGAGTATAAATATTTATATAATTTGTTAAATGGTAACTATTTGGACACCGATTAATTCAAAGAATAAATTTCTTTCACATTCCAATACTTTTGTACCTTTAAGCGTATATGTGTGGTATATGTATTATATAATATAAATATTAAATAAATTGATATGTAAAATTATTACCTGTATTACACGTATAACATATTTAAATATGAATAAAAGATGATTTACGACGACACTATATAAAACTTTCACATTGCAATCTTTTATAACAATCAATTTACACGAACTGTTTGTAACAAATATGTGTTTTTTTTCTTTTTATAATAATAATAATAATAATCATAATGTAATATAATGTATTCTTCTGTTTTTCAATTTATAAAGATATGAGGTAAAATGTAGCCTTACTTACATAATGATATATATATATAGTACTATTTCTTTTATATTAAATACATTATCGTTTAATAAATAACAGAAAATTTGTTCATTTAAAATGACTAATTCTATATCATGCACTTGTGTTCATTTTGACTATTATTTAATATTATAAATATTTTAATCAACGGCGTTCGTTTTTTCTTGCAGTATTTGATAATAACATGCCTATAATAAAAAGATTTATATKATTATTATTAAATATTAATTATTATGATATTAAAGTATATATTTAAAAAATATTAACTAGCCTTCAACGTGGTAAACATAATTCCTAGTTCTCCATTTTGTAAATGTGGTTCCATAAAATCTTCGATAAAATGTATTTCACTACCTAATTGCAATACACTAGCACGTACTACAACAAAACAAAATACTGGGAATAATGCATCCATCGTCCATATATACGCTGAACCTAAATGTTTTTGAACTGCCTGAAAGGTCCATCAAATATTTATTATTACAATTAGTAGAATTTAATAAATAATAATATCAAATATTATTATTTTCGTACTTGTGTCATTTGTTCAAAGGTATTTTTAAGAACGAGTAATTTTTCTAATGGAGAAAAAGTTGTTTTTAATTGCTGTAATGCTTCTATGGCTTCACTAAAATGTGACTCTTTCTGATATGAATTTTCCCCAAAATTAGTTGTTGCCACTTCCTTCCAAAATTTTCTACAATTAATTTATAATATATATTTATTATATTGAATAATTATAATATTTTAAATATACATATGTGCATGTATTATTACACTCACTGATCAATGTCTAAAAATGTCATTAAAGTTATATCTGATTGTTTGTTCCATTTCATTAATCTTTCCCAATAGGCATCATCTTCCTTTTTATTATGTAAAGCATACAATACGAAAAGAGCAGAATGCACACGTGGCAATAATATTGGATGTAATATAGCAGGTGCACTTATTACTTGCCTAATCAAATATTAGATTTTAATCCAATTAATAAAAAAAAAAAAAGATAGAAAATAATAGAATTGTTAAACAAGTCTGTGTATAAACATACCCTTCATTTTTATCATCATCTTCAGATCCTAAAACGTATTCCTTACCACCTCTTAATAATGCAGGAAATAATAATGTCACAATATCATAAATTCTTAACGTAACACTGTGAAGTTCTGTAACAGCATGGCTTAATAAAAGAGGATGTACTCTTACACCGCCATAAGTTGCTGTATAAACTGTAGCAATTTCTGTCAATAGTGCACCCAACGGATGATGTGGACTTTCAAATGCTTGTACCAAATATTTATGTACTTCTTTATAACTTTGTATGGTAAGTTTGTCTTTACCAAAACATGGTATTTTATCCAATTGATCAATATTTTCGTTATTTTTATCTTTATTAGTAGACGTATTACCAGATATCTTTTTTCTTTGCAATGTCTTTTGATGAGATTTCGTTATTATTGATGCTACATTTTGCCAAGCTTTCTGCGTCTCTACGAACTTTTCATTGAAGCTAGCTTTAGCTATTGTTTCAGTTACACCAAGCTGTTGATAGCATTGTTTAAATATAGCTTTCCATTTTTGATCTGGTGCTACACATAATTTACCAAAAGATCTGTTAACAAAAATATCAAACGCATATCATTTTACAGTTAACTATTGTAGAAAATGTTAGTAGATTATTTAAAGTGAGCATTCATGGGATATATTTAAAAAGGTTATCTAAATTAAAAAAGAAATAAAAAAAAGAAAAAGAATGCATTTACAATAAGTCATACAAACTACTTACATCGGTTTAGAATTAGTCGAAACATTTCCACTAGCTTTATTGATATGTAAAGTAGCTACAACTTTCACACCTTCATTCCAAGCTCCATTTATATTACCTTCCAATCTGTCACCACTGCGAAACGTTAGAACACCCCTTCCACAAAATATTCCTGCAGATTTAAATTCTCCTTCGTAATGTGTACCATCTTCAAACACCATAACTCCATAGCCCTTAATGTTAATATATTTATATATAGATTTTGTTCTTAAATTATGTGTTAGAGATATTAATAATGCATAGATAAAATATGAAATTAATTACAAACCATTAGGACATCTTGACTAAAGGCACCTTCATAATAAATACCATCAGGTGTGACTATCAATCCAGAACCATGTTTCATATCATTGTTCCATGATCCTAAATATTTTTCTCCTGTAATATAAAAATGTATAAATTTCATTTGAATAATATATTAATGTGAAATTACGATTTATATTCTCAATTTATAAAATAATAAAATACCAGTCATGATATCATCCATAATACCATATCCCTGTTTAACACCTGCAGTCCATTCTCCGATATAAACTGATGCTACAGAAGCCATAAAGTGACCTTCCTTTTTAACACCATGCCCATGTGGTAATCCATCTTTAAAATATCCTTCGTAAATATCCCCGTTTACATATCTAAAATATTGTCAATATTTCAATAAATTTATTATTTTAGAAGGATTTTAAATAAAATAGTAAAATATGTATATATTTACTTCATAGTTCCAAAACCATTTTGTTGACTATCTTTCCATTGCCCTTCGTATATACCTTGAGCTGGAATTTCCATTTTACCGCTGCCACAAATAACACCTTTATGAAACTGACCAGTGTATACTCGACCATCAGACCATTCTAATTTTCCAGATCCATGTGGTTTACCATTTAACCAACGGCCTGTAATATAATTAAATATAGTATTAAACATTTGTAAGAATTTTGTATTTTGTAAAGTACATTTCTTAACATACCAATATATTTTGCATCCTTGAAAAGACTGTGCTTTGTGAAAGAGAATGAGGTTGAACGTACTAATGGGGGAGTATTTCCAATTACTCTCTGTAGACTGCATTTAATTGCATTTTGTAAAGCATGCAACCAATCATTACGTTCAGAAGGTGTTGGAGTGTATAATACAAAACTATCTTCCGGTGTTATTATTGAAATAGCATTCTAAAATAAATATTGATGTTATAAACAAGTCCTTATATATATATATATATATATATACAATTATATTATTATTATACCTGTAAAGATTCAGAATCTGGTAATAATTCAACCCATAGAGTTTTAAGTGGATGCACCGTATGATAAGCTCCACTAACATGGATAAATATATCGGTTAACAAAATAAACCAATGTGTTGAAAATCTTCCAGAATTGAATAATGCTATAGGATGTGAACGTGATTCTCTGATAAGTCTTCTCTCAGGTGATCTCAATAATTCTCCTACTTTTCCAGAATTTTCCCAAAATGATCTCGTAGTTTCAGCTTCTTTTTGTCGTTTTTCTTGTTCGTCGCACAATTGTTCCCATTTCAAAAGTGCATCGTGCAATCTCTCGATACCCATTTGTTGTCCATTACTTCTCATTAAACTTTGAATCATATTTTTGTACCTGAAATGTTTGTAATGTATAACTGTATGTAAAATAAAGAACATTGGTAAGAAAGAAACTTACCTGTCGAGATTCTTCAATGGATGCTGCAATGCCATGGTTATCGCAATTTCATTGTTTACTTTTTTCGTTCCATTTCCTTTCATTTTATCTATAAATAAATTTGACACTATCTTGGGTACTTCTATTATTTTTGCAATGTATATAAAGCCACCAAAAGAAATAATATCACAAATTACATTTAGATAATATTTATAAACTGTGTAATATTCTTCTATATTAGCTATTATTACAACTTCATATGCCTGTTTAATATGTTGAAAATAATCCCATAGACTAACAACATTAAGTACACTGAAATTCAATAGTTCTGTATAACAACGGCACATAGTTTCATATACATTTGATTCTTGTGTTGCACCCACTTTTTTTTGAAATGGTTTTATTAAATTTTGATAAACTGTTATCATCTGTTCTAAAAATATTTGATTATTCACTAAATCTTCATTTATATTTATTGCAGGTTCGTTTAAAAAGGAACAACAACTGTATTGTCCAGAACTAAAAATTTGTTTTGTGCTCGATGGTTTAATTGATCTTACATCCAATTGAAACATTTCAGCAGTTTTACTAAAACAATAATTCATTTCAATTAAATATTGTCGTGATTTTAATGCAAAGTAATAAATAAAATTAATACCTTGACTGTCCCATGAAATATAAACCATGATGCATCATTATTAAACTATGAGCAGAACCAGCTGCTATATCTTTTGCTCTTTCATTAGAATATAAATTTGTACTAAATAACTGAGGTGCACTTTGATCTGTCGTTGAATTTAATGTAACTTGTTTGAAATTATTTCTTCCCCAAACAAATACTCTACCATCTAAAGTCAATGCAATAACATGGAATGCACCACAGGCAATTTTTCTAAGACCTGTGTTGTTGAGTTTTGCTACCAGTATTGGCCTTACTCGTTTAATATTATCTCCTGTCCCTAATTGTCCATATTGCACATCACCCCACGTCCAAAGTTCAGTGGATAATATATTGCTACCTGTACGAGACAGAACACTAATTCTTTCGTTTAATCCTTGCTGCGATAATTCATGTTCCAATGATCCAGTACTTGACGACCAAGGAAATTCTTCGCAACGTAAACTAAGTGGTGTTAAATTATTTGTACCAGGCTTAGACAATTCTCCAGCTGCTTGTTCTTCTACTTGTTCAATATTGTCCTCTTTGAATTCGTTAATATCTGAACTTCCACTCATATGTCTTGAGAGAGTAACAACTTTACCACCCACATTTTTTACACCTTCATATACAAAACTAGCCATATTAGAAACATTTTGCTTGATTAATTTGGTTGGATTATCTGTATTATCGATGAGCTCTTCCTTTACACTTCCATAAGATGAGACCCAAGATAATTGTCTGGATAAGAACTGTTTTGCTGCTTCTCTATTTATAAAAATTAAATTCTTCTTTTCCTCCTTATCTAATTCTGAAATATTCATTGAATCTTTTTCCTCGTCTTCTTCTGTAACAACATTATGATCTTTTCTATCACATTCTTCGAGAAGAGGTATATCGTGTTCCTTACTGGCAGTAGATAAAGCACTAATAGAATTAGTAGAACGATCTTCGCTAAATTGTTGAACATGGAGTCCCATTGGGCAAGTATCCGACGATGTTATGCTAGCAGGACTTAACATAATATTATTGAGACATTGTGGACATGAATTAACAAAAATTTCTTCTTCTAATTCATTTTCACTATCAGTATCATCTCTTATAGTTTTAGTCTGTCTCCTTACAGTAGCAACATTAAAATTAGAGCCGCATGCAACCTGAGTTATGGTTCTTCCATCAAAAAATTTCACTTTCTTAGGTTCTGTACTATTAATATCTATCTCTGGTTGATTTCCGCTTGCCCAAAGTTGTCCATTTTCAGTAACGAACAACGCTGAAGTATCATTAACTGCTATCGATTTAACTTTAATTATTTCATTTTCTTGTCTATATCTATAAAATATAATCAATGATAAATAACTTGATTGTTCAATAATAATCAATGAAATAATTAACAATTTAATTGCTTACCCATGACTACAACATTTTGGATCCTCTTTAAGAATAATTGTTTCAACGACGTTCAAATCATAAGGATTAACTTTTAATACATGACCTTTGGAATTAATAATGAATAAATAATCGGTATTAGATGCAATATCAACTGCATCAAATTGAGCTCTTTTAAGAGTAAGCGTTGGAAATTTATCATCTTCCAATAATACTTCACCGTAATATAAATAATTATCACTGGTTGCTACAAAAATGTAATCCTTGATGACAATTAACTTGTTGACTACACCATTAGGCTTACTGCCAAACGTAAATGATAATTTATCAACACCTTTCCACAAATGCATATATTCTTCCATCGTTTAAACGTTATTGTTTATTTTTTCTAACCTAAGTTTTATAAACGTTAGTACGATATAACGATACGTTTTTTGTCATGTTACTTGAGATATTGTCGTTTCCATTAAATTTATTTCAAATGTATTTTTAATGATGTTCATTTTGATGTTATTTGATAAACCGTTAGTTGTCTTTCACTATAACAGTTACTACAAAGTAACTAAATAATACCAATATCAGCTGATCAGTTATCACGTATTGCACGAAGAAATGCATTGGTTTGATTACGTAGTTACCGCAGTGATGCCAAGACGTGAAATTTTCTCCCACGTGGGAGCCTTCGTGCGCATGCGCATGGTGACGTTCAGCTTGACGGCTATAGTTTCCATAGACGTATCTATCTGCAACAGTATGTATGCGTAAGGGGTCCTCGCCAGTCGTTTCCTGTATTTTTCGTTAAAGTGAAGGTGAGTCGCGTAATATTATATAATATATTGAATTGTAGTGTAAATATGTTATTTCTTTTAAAAATGTTCTCTTTTTGGAATTTCTACCGTATTTTAATTGTCACGGGGGTCTAATGATACCCCATATTTGAGTGAAGTGTATATGTTACTGAGGATTAGATAGTGCGCATGCGTAGGAAAAATCTCACGTTCTGGCATCACTGGCCTACTTCCGTCGGTTTACCGCTGAATGAACTAACCACAAATCAAATAAATTGTAATATGACAAATATTCTATAGGGGCGTTTTATAATTGAGTTTATACAAGGAAGGATGCATTTCGTGAGATTTAGGATTGTCAAAATTAAATAGGTATCTATATGTTCAAGACTTTTTACTAACACGCCATCTGTACACAAATTAAATCTTTTTCTATTATAATTATTTGTAATATATATTTATATATGTTTTCTTTTTTCTTCTTTTATTTGATCAATTTAATTAATTATTAATATTGATCAAATAAATAATTATATTAATTAATTTATAAAGAAATAATAAATTAATAAATTTCATTTAAATTACTATGTTTAAGCCGTCAATGTTAAACATTTTATTTAAAAATGCATTATCGGCTTTTATAGTAATAGTTTCATTATTTAAATGGAAATTCTTTCATTTATTTGAAACATTCATTCAACACTCTTGCAGCTTGAACGTAAAATAACTTATTTAAATAATTATTTAATTATGTATCTTCATTATTTCAAATCACTGACACTAGAAATCATACGTAACATACAGTCTTTTAAGATTAAAGAGGAAGTTTTAAGTGATCGAATCATTTCGATTACACACATATCATTTTATCGGAACTAAAGATCAATTATCAATCCTGTTGATATTTTTGGATAGTTAAATGCTCCGATCTAGTACACAATTATATAAAAATTCAATGGCATTACAGACATTTCAATGATGTTGCACGCTAGGCAGTTTTTTTTTTTTTTACTTTATATTTACATAGCTGTAACTTTTTTTATTCCGTTATATATTCTATTCACAGACTTCTGTTGTAGAAGTGTTTTAATTTCTAGAAAGAAACAATTATTATGTTACATTTTTCAAATTCAAAGATATTTACAATAATAAATGATTAGTCTTATAGAATAGATTACCTTCTTTCTGTTCGTTCGTAAACTCTTTGTCAGGGAATGCGATATCGAATGTGATATAAAGAATACCGTGAAGATTATTATTATCATAATTAGGCATTCCTTCTCCTTTCTTTCTGATCCTAGCACCTGGTCTTGTAATTTTATCCCTATGAATAGTCACTTTATGTCCATCTAAATGTTCTATATCCATAGTGAAACCTATTAAAGCATCTTGCATCGAAATAGTTACATTTGTGTACAAATCATCCCCAATTCTTTCAAAAACTGGATGTGGTTCCGTTTGAATTCTAAAATAAAATAAAATAAAATGACAATGTATTTTATCAATGCTATCTTCTATAATAATCATTTAAAAACTTACTTTACTATTAAGTCTCCTGGCTCGCCATCAATATGTGGTTCTCCTTCAGCAGTAAATTTAGTTTCTTGTCCATCGACCATTCCTGGTTCAACTTCAACTTCTAATATTCGTTCCTCATTTACAAATTGAACGTTTGGACATTCGGAACAAATTTGTTGCTGCATCATTTGGAATCTACCATTTCCTAAATTAATTGTCACAAATTCTTGTCTACAATTACACTTTCTCGTTCCTTTGGCAGGTTTAGCTACCGCTTTATTTCTAGTTATCTCAATGAAATTGCCGCTGTATAATTCTTCAAGTGTGACAGATAAATCAACAACAACGTTGGAACCTCTAGGTGTTTCTTGTTGATGATTATTATCTCCAGAAAAATGAAAACTAAAGTCTCCGAAGAAGCTTGCAAAAGGATTTGAATTATCCATAGAGCCATCCTTTTTCACACACTCTTCTCCACATCGGTCATACATTTTTCTCGTTTCAGGATCAGAGAGTACTTCATAAGCTGCTCCCAAATCTTGAAATTTTTGAGAAGCATCTGGATCATCTTTATTTTTGTCTGGATGTAATTCTTTGGCTAATTTCCTATATGCTTTCTTTATTGCATTTGTTGTTGCACTACGTGGAACATTGAGGATACTGTAAAAATCCCTCCTATAAAAAAAAAAAATAACAAAGAAACATTAAAATACTGATTAATTAAATTTTCTCATTGAATTTATGAAATGTATTAATAAATTTTTAACACAATGTTTATGAATTTAATAGAAATGTCATTGATGATCATGCAGTATAAGATTGTTATTTAATAAGAAAGACAGGTTATGTAGGAAGGAAAGATTTACAGTTAAAAACAATAGGATTATTAAATAACATAATGTATATTTATATTTACCCTGCCAACGTAATTATTGTACATATCGCTAAATTTATCAAAAACACCGAAATAAATTTAATCGCTGCCATCGCAGCTGAAGTTACAACAAACACCCCGTTAATCGTGGGTGTTCGTGATTGGTCCACAGATGAGATCTAAAAATATTGCTATGTAAACGTCACACTAGTTGAAGTAGATATGCTGACTTATCTTTTCGGTAGTTTATTTCTAATTTGTTGGTATTACGTATTTCTAATGTTCGATAAATTTCATTTTACGAATGATTTGTTTATATAAAGATCAATCCTTTGCGTGTATACATTAATGTAATATTGACAAATAAGCGATTGTCAAAAATGATTTAATCAAATAGCGAGCTAGTGTATTTCCAACAAATAAATTCATTTCGACCAATGAAAATGCTCGAAATAGATGACTAGATGGCGTTGTAGAGAAAAATTTTTTAGCGCGTTATTGTTTCATTTAAACGTGTAAAAGTAATGGCGTAAAAAAGTGTTATCTTTGTAATTAAAGTGATCTATTTCAAAATTTAATATCGTATAAAGTAAACGTGATATGATTTATTATAAATTTACCGTAAAACGTTAACAATATCACAACATTAAGTTGACATTTCTATCGATAATATTAATATCGTGTATTCTATTAACGATCGTCACTTTTTATAGATCATTTTCGTTACAACAATTGTCACATTTGGTTAGTATAATGTTTAATTTTATATTTAACATATTTAAAATTTATGCAAAAATTCGTATTACTTTATGATAGTTTGCTAAAGAATGTAAATTTTGTTTTTAGCATGTTTTGTCTGTCTGCAAGAAGAAGGAAGTTACAGTAGATGCATGTTGTCAACTTGTTCACTAATGTCTACTTTGTTTATTCGAATATGGAGAGGTGTTTCATCCCACAAGTATATCGGTGAGTAAAAATAACGTTACGATTTTAATGTGACTTATGGTATATTTATTTAAAATACTACAAAATATCACCAATCTAAAATTGATCAGATACGTGACGTGCCTAAAGGCAATAACAGTAAAGGCGCATGTTAAAATCGGTCATACACGCACTTTGGCTACCATAAGCATTAAGTCTGCCAATTGTTCCTAACAGATTGTAAGATTTTTCATCTTTTCTATAACGCACCATACCTTCAAATATGGCCTCTCCGGGATATGTTTGAAATTGTATCGAATAATCGATCCAAGAAGATTCTTTAGCATTGGCCAACATTTTGGCTTGTTTGATCGTCCGTAAATGTAACATGGAACAAAGCGGATATTTCCTTAACATGTCGTTCAACACTTTCATCAAATATTGAACATTATTTTTAACTCTTATGTCATCGAGGGATACATCTTCCGATCTGTGACACATGCACAAGTTACCTGGTATTCCTGCCATATTGCATGTTCTATGATCGGGTATAGGTAAAAATAAACTTATACCACGTGGTACATTTCCTTTGGAAATTTGTTGATTTCGTTGTTTCAAAGTATCCTCTTCAATTCTTCTAGGATCCGCTATATCTTTTAAAGTCTCGTGTACATCGAACGCTGTTGTTAAACTTCGCATATTTCTACGCATGTTAGCCCAAGCCACGGAATATTTGTCTCTCCACCATTTTGGTAAAACCAGAAAGGAGAACGGAAGACTGTCTTCCATCTTACCCTGAAATGTCTGACGAAATTGTCCAAATCTCAAACCGTGATCACTCATCATTATCAAAGCGGTATTATTGAGATATTGTCTTTCCGAAAGTAATTCAATCAACTTGTGATAACTCTTGTCACTTAATTGCGCGTAATTTAAATAATCGTGTGTCAAACTAGCCATCCAGGTAAATGCAAAATAAAGATCATTCGGGAATGTTGTTGCTACTTTTTTAGTATAATCGATAAGATTATCGAACGTTAATCTCGTACCAACGCAAAGATTAGCATTCAATTTATTGGTATTACCAATATCACCTTCACTTTCTATACAAAATGGTCGTAAGTAATAATCCGTAGGTTGTTCTTTAAATCCTGGTTTTAAATAATTAAATATACTCATGTGACATGCATCCTCAGCTAATATTGTTCTATATCCAGCAGAACTCATGTTTTTCCAAATAAATGGACATTCATCGAACGTTTTTTTCTTATGCTGCCAACAAAGTTTTTCCAATTCGTCTTGATTTAAGCCAGACAACACAGTTATGAGATTTGGATAAGTATTATCAGCAACTTTTGTATACCCTAACATTTCAGCTGCTTCCAAATCTTCCAAAAGTTTAACAGTTTTTGGCATACTTCGACGAAAGTTCAATCTCGAAACCGAATCAATCCCAATCACCAAAATACTTAATCGATTTTCAATGGGATTCGTTTTCACAGCAAGTTCACATCTTTTTTCAACGTCCGGTTTACGTGGTACAAATGCATGATAATCTTTATATATTATTTCTTTTCCACGCCAACATATGACTCTTATAAATTCCGCCGTAACCTGATTAGATTTATCGAAGAAATAACAATCGTTGTTATATCTGTCAATAGAAGAATTAAATGACGAATTTGAAATCAAATTGTACAATCAAAATGATAGTTGATACTTTTTCTTTTTTACCTTAACCTTACGTTTTATATCATACTAACGTGTTAGCATTATCGTTGTTTTTCATACGTTCGAAGGAGTTCCAGCAACAATTAACGATATCCGTTGATTGGTTGTAATAAAGCATTCGAGACAATGGATTTACATAAACCAGAAAATTATTTGATTCGATCAATGGCGGTATGGTTCCAGCTTTACATACTATTGGCTTTTCTTTTTGAATAAAACGCATAATTGCTCGATCAAATGGTTCCATCGCTGGTATTTTACAACCTTTGGTGCTAACCAGATATCCGGTATTTTCAATTGACATGAAAGATTCTTCATAATTATCTATGAAAATGATCTTTCATTGATTTTATATTTTGAAATTATTCTAACAATATTAAGATTTCAACTTACCTTCTATGGTTTCTTTCTCGATATTACCAAAATGTGTAATACGAAATTGTCTTGTTGAATAAGTGTTGATAACTAAGATGAACATTAACAGGAAAATTAATATTCCTATTAACCATCTTTGTAATCGAGAAATATTAGTATGCTTTTTAGATTCGGATAAAACATTGGTGGTATTATGGCGTACATTAATTTGCACGTTTTTCTCACCGCGATTTACTGCCTGATGAAAAATCGTAAGATCATTATCAATGAAAAATGTAATGGAGTTAAGGATCAGTTTTCACTTACCGCGTTTGCAAAAAGATTGTTACGCATACCAGATCGGATGTGCGTATTGGCCAATTTTGAACGTTTAAGATATAGGACAATATTGAAGATATACATGATTTATCGTATGACATTCACCAAAAATACAGACCAGTTGATATCAGTTATCAAATGATATCAAAAAGTTGTTAACGGTTTTTCATATAAATTGAATTTATATCTAACGAAAGATAACATTTTTATTATCGTATATGAACGACAACAACAAAAAAATTTTCGGAAATTTGAACTTGAATTAAATTCATACCGGATAAGATATAAATCAAATAATGATTTACGATCAATAAGTTTGTTCATTATCCCTTAGCCATTTAACTTTAAATTCCCTTGTAAACGTATCAATGCAATTTTGCATGAATATTATTATTTTGATATATCCTTTAAACAATCGATTATTTTATGATCTGTAAAGTATTCCAAAAAAACAAAAAACAAACAAACAAACAAATGATTTCATATCGTTTAATTGAAATATTGATCAAATTATATTTTCTTTACTCACATGTTTTTATTTATGCATTTACGTTAAAAACACGTATTGAGTGTGTTTCAAAATGCAGTATAGAAGAATATTATTGATATCTCAGTTGAATACATCTTTGTTTATCAATGTTTCAATTAACATTTCAGTTAGAAATTATTCAAACTTTATACTCGTGGCAATATGTTTATTTCTTTTTTCATTTGTTTATATTGTCCTTCTCTTTCGTTTATTTGATCGTTAATTGAATGCACACAGAGAATGTTTGTATAAAATATTAATTAATAAATTGATATCTATGTTTTTTTTTTTTTTTTTATTACAAACATTTGCATTTGAATATTCTGCAATAGAATATTATTTTTTATTAACAATATTTTTCTTGCAATTTATCAATATTCATTTACACATACATACATACATACATACATACATACATACCTTTGTGTGTTGATTGAACAATTTTTCTTTTCGAAATAATTCGTTGAAAATTTGAAATAATTCATTTATTTATTTATTTCTTTTTTTCTTTCTTTTTGGAATATTTGAATTATTGATCGAAAAATGTTGTAATTGGATCATTTGAATTTTCAGTTTTACATAAAAATATATTTAATGTTAGTTGATCATTATAGCATATATATATATATATATATATCACTATGCGGCAATTTTGAGAGATATATAAACACTTACGTACGAAAATAACGTTCCAATGCAGTTCAGATGCACTTGTTTCGATGTTTCAATTAATTTCTCATTGAAGATATGCGTTAAATATTCCGATTATTTACTATTAATAAATGAATCTCGTCCTATTCTATATATTATTTTCACGATATGTTCAATATTGGATATGTTGACAAATGATTAATCGAATCTTCTCTTATTGCACATTGATTTCATCTTCTCATACCACCAATGATCATCAATATATATATATGTATATATATCTAACAATAAATTGCAACAGCAGCAGAGACATATGAAGATTTTGAATTAACAATATTCATTAATGTGAAATATTGTTCATTTGTTTTCTTTTTTTTTATTCACACCGTTGATATTTTCGATAAATCAGACGACAAAATATATCGAAATTAAATTGTTCGTCTTTCGTAATCATTTTGAACAAAGAATTGTTTGTATTAATTTTTTCTTTTTTTTAATTTTCTTCATTCGTAGATACACGTACGTGAGTAACGTACGTAATATTCCATCGAAAATTTATAAATAAATAATTTTTTTCTTTAACATAACGACGATCACTTTTTTTTTTTTCCTTTCTTGATTTGCTTACTTCGTTCCCCCAAAAAATATATATTAATTTGAATGAAACCGATTGAAATATGTTCGTTAAATATTACCGATGACTTTTCTTTTTTTTTTTTTTCTGGGTTCTTTTCTGTTTTTTTTTCTTCTTTTTATTATATTTTTCTTATTTTATTTATTTTTGGAAGACGGTTTTTAACCACGTCGCGCTTTTAAGCGCCGGGACGAGGCGTTGCCGCGTACCGGCAAACTGCAATTGAATGCCCTGCGGATTTCTCTTCTCTTCTCTTCCTTCTGTCTTTATTTATGGTGGCAAGGAGAGAAAGGGGAGGGAAGGGGAGGGAATAGAAAACCACCCCCCYTGGGTCGATATCAAAATGCGCGCGCGCGCGCGCTGGCGCACGTCGTTTGATTTCTCACTCTTACTTTATTTATCTTTATCTTTTATTTATCATTATTTATCTGTCTCGTTTTATTTTTAAAAACCGCCAGGTTTGAATCATCTTTCACATATAATTCACATATAAACATAATTTTGTTAAGTTAATTTTGTTTTATAAAAGTATATATAAATTAAAGTATACTGTATAAAAATTAAATATAATATTACAATTGTTTATTGGATAGAAAAAATGACTATTTTATAAAGAAGATTTTATTATAAAAATATTGATGATTTTTGTATTGATCGAGTATGGTAAATTGAAATAAAAAGATAAACAATTATTTATAAAATTTAATAATTTTAATATATATATGTATATATATTATAAATTATAGAATATATTATTAACAAAATGATTTAATTAAAATTGAAAATAAATGATGTAAATGTGTACGTTTACAGAATAATCTACATGTTTTGAAATTTGAATATTATGTATATATATTGAATATATATTTATTTATTAATATTTATTGTGTAATATATTGAATATTTTATTTCCTTTTTTTTTTTTTAATAAATTTATATAATTAAATATTGAAATAATAGTTGCGTTTGAATTTATTTAAATTAAATGATTGAAATGTTAACTCACGTGTTAATCTTTTATTAGAATTATTTAAAAACAAATTTGATAAATTTGATATAATTTGTTTAATCTATTTGACAACTCATTATTTTTGATATTTGATTTTTGTTTATAAAAAAAAAAAAAATAGTTTTCGTACTATGATATTTCAGTAAATTGCCGATAATGTCGTACGTGACATGAACATAGTAAGACATTTTTAATATTAATTTGATTTATCATTCGTTAGTTATAAAAGTTTATATATTTAATATTTCAAATGTTTAGTTTACAATACAAAGTTTTTATTTTTTTTTTATTGTTAATTATTATCTTGATATAAACAATTCGAATATGAATGATATTGGATAACGTAGAATGGATTAAGTAGATTTTTTCTTTACCAACGTTGGGTTTCATCGATTTATTCAATTTTTATTTTCTAACAACATCTGTTGATAACATTTCAATGTTACCAACATGTCCAATTTGAAAAAATATTAATTAGATAGAACCAATTTAATTAATTAAAATTTTAGCTTTAAAACTAAAGGTACAAACCTTTGTACTTTATGTATAAATAAACGATAAAAATATATATTTCATAGTTTTTTTCATTTATTCTAAGCATTAATAATAATAAATAATAAATAAATAAATAATAAAAAAGGTACGTAATTAAAAAAGAAAATTCCCCTGTTAACACGTTGAGTGCCACGTAAATTCTTACGGAACTTTTCGTCAGGCCACGTGTGGCAAAACGAAAGGTGAACGTCAGACACATGTGCCTGACATGGCCTGTACTTGAAGTTCATCGTCAGTCACCAATGTCTGACATGGCCTGTACTTGAAGTTCATCGTCAGTCACCAATGTCTGACATGGCCTGTACTTGAAGTTCATCGTCAGTCACCAATGACTGACATGGCCTGTACTGGAGTTCATCGTCAGTCACTAATGACTGACACGGCACTCAACGTGTTAACAGATTAAAAATGGAGAAAGCATCACAATTAACTGACTAAATTTTGTTGAAAATATTGATCGGAAAATTGTAAGGTATCAAAGAAACAAAAAAAAAAAACAAGGAAATAAATATTTTGAAAACGTATTATATCTATCTTTGTCTCATAATAATGGTTTATTATTGAAGTGATATAGTTATAATGATTCGTAACGTGTCTGACTACAATGATACGTTTTTATAGCTAAAGAAATGTTTATACATGGATTATACAATATTTACAGAAACCCGAAGTCGTAAGCAATAATTTTTGGACATTTTCATGAGGCTCACTCATGGCAGGACGATGATAATTCATGGTGGCCTATTTTTGTTTTTTTTTTTCTTCTTCTTCTTCTTCTTCTTCTTTTTTTTCCTATTCGTCCACATATTGGATTTAAACTTGTTCATTATTCACACCTGAGAACGACTTATGCGACACATATTATCACGACATGTATTTTTAGGTACACATCGATTATTATTATTATTATTATTATTTTTATTATTATTATTATTATTGTTATTATTATTATTATATTATTATTATTATTATACTTAGATTATGAAAAAAGATTTGTTTTACGCACTTACGCGTAATCATCAAAGTCTCTTGCATTATTTTTTAATATTTTTAATTTTTTTTTTTTCAATATTTTTATATTTTAATTATTTTATTTGATATTTTTAATTTTTAATTTTTAATTTTTAATTTAATCTTTTTTTTCTTCTTCTTTTATCATCATCATCATCATCATCATCATCATCATCATCATTATATCCTATTACGCTATACTTATAATTATAATTATTATTAAATTATTATTATTATTTGATAATCCTAAAGTTGATTTTTTCGTAAAAGAGCTACGATTCGACGACATTACTGCTCTTTTTTTTTTCTTTTCTTTTTTTTTTTTTTTCCGTTTTTTAGATTTTATTTTCTTTCTCTTGTAATTGTAGGTTTCATTTTTTTTTCCTTCTTGTTTTCATTTCGTTTCATTTCGTTTTGTTTCGATATTTTCTTTTTTTTTTTT